GCGTTATCACCTTCATCCTTAATATCAGAAGGAACATCACCAACTGTAATCTTGTGTGACATATTACGGGGCATTTGATCATTTAATTGTAGAGCAGGGTTGCTCTCACGAGGCGGGCTTTGAATTTTTGCATGTGATAAGTGATTATTGTCCTATGAAGCTAGTGGTAAAATCTCCTCCCTAAGCTCATTCTTAATATCAAGAAAAATTGGAAAGATATTGGGTTGAGCATCTCTATCTTTCAAATTCAAGTAAAAGAAAACATCACGATCATGTGATATTTCTGTTATGCCTCGCCACCGAGGCTAAAAGTCAAATGTGCCACGTAAGTAGACAGAAAAGTCAACAGAGACCCAAGTTGTCAAAATACAACGAAGTTGTGCAGATTACCGAGGTACTGCCTCACCCAGCGAAGCACTACACTTGGGATGAGACGACACTTAAGGAAACGAAAAAGGAGCTGAAGCTCTCTACTCAAAGGAAAGGTTCCGAGTCTCTCAGTTCATCCGGAACTCATAAGCAGACGTTGTCTCTTGCAAGATATTTGAGTATCTTTTAGAAGTGATTTATGTAACATTTGTAATAAATGATGTCAGGGTGTCAGCCTGTTGTACAAGGAGCTGAAGCTCTCTACTCAAAGGAAAGGTTCCGAGTCTCTCAGTTCATCCGAAACTCATAAGCAGACGTTGTCTCTTGCAAGATATTTGAGTATCTTTTAGAAGTGATTTATGTAACATTTGTAATAAATGATGTCAGGGTGTCAGCCTGTTGTACAGGGCGACCGACTCCTTAATATGTATTAATTGTAAGAATAGATAATGATGTGATATCTTAACTTAGGAGATGAAGTCACGTGGTTTTGATTCAAAGAATATCACGTCGGCCAAGGCAGTATAAATATACCTTCTTTTAACATAGAAGGGGTTGGAAAAATTGGAGTTAGAACTATCATTTTCTCATGTCTTGAACTCTCAAATATGGATCGAATCAAGAAGAAATATGGTCAAATTCTCTTACATACGTTTGTATTTCCATTTTATATCATACACTTAGTAGAAAAAATAAAAGTCGCTGGTCATATAATCTACAATACTCTTTTGTTTTCTATCATTCCACATATTCTAGCAAGATCTTTGGTTAGTAGTTTGGTGATCATTGTTAGCGTAATCACATTTGTTTCAACCTTCGAAACTCGAATATCTTTATCTCTCATCGTGAACCACTCCCTACGTCCAAATCTGCCTCCTTTTTCACAGTTTATCCGGTAGAAACATGACGGAATTGGTTCGACATGGTGAGAGTGGGCCCAGCATCTATTGGCTCATTTTTTAGGGTCAACAATTTCCATGGGTGAGCTTCCAACTTGCGCTATATACCTCATTCGTATTGTTTGTAACAAAGGAATCAAACACAATGCATCAAACAATATCTCCAACAATCCAACATATGATGTTCCAAGAGGAACCAATACCCCTGTCATCTCATTGTCTACATGTATATTATTTTTATCCCACCATCCGTTAAACTTTACAAAAA